TTAGTGGAATAATACACAGGGGTATATGTGACTATATTTTAATGGGTTTAGAAAAATATTGATTAAGTTAGGTTTTTTGTGGTTTTATATACGGTACGGTTAAAATTTTACAGATGTTCAATGTTATAATTAAAATAGAGTTTTAGAGTAAAACTGCTGATATTAGGAAATTAATTCTCCTGTCCAGGGTACAGGTTTTTGAGAAATATCTCAATATTATAAAGTTAGGCTCCATATTCAATAGTTATTAAATATGCACAAACTTAATAAACCAAAATGAAATTCAGTTAAATTAATTTCTTAGAGCACTGGTAGTACCATACCAAGTAAATTGAACCAAACCATTGAGTTGAATAATTGTTTGTTGTTTGATTGTAGTAAATTGAACCAATTTATGTGCATGAATTAAACTGATCTGAGTATTAATTAATTTTAGATAACAAATTTCGCCTGTAAATGATCTGGAACTATACAATTATTGTATTTTTTTATAAATGAGTTATTCAAAATAAGAAACATGGTTTGGAATTATGTAGCTTTTAAATTAAGTTAATTATTTCAACGGCATGCAAAATGGTAATACTGTAGTCTGTTTAGGATTTTAATCGAGCCATTTACAGAAAATCATATATTTATAGCTTTAAGGTTGAACTTATTAGATTTTTTTATGTACATGGCAGCTAAAAGATTAAACTTTATCATTATGGAAAGGAAACTCTAAACAACCTCAGATTATGGAAATAAACTCATCGAGCAATCAATACACTTTTCTTAATCCTACATCTGTTTTTGATCAAACATACCATATAGGATACACAGACTACTTCCTATTTCCCTATATCTCCATATCTATGCCATTACATTCTGTGGATATTATTTGAACGTCTGGCTTCTGCAAAGCACATACGAAAGGTCGCGAGTCAAACATTGGAGTGCGCCTTCACATCTCAACGATGCAAAATTGAGACACGTCGCGCCGTTCACACACAGTAGGCTAATGCTAGCGCGAACTTACGCTTTTATTATTTTACTTGTCCTTTACTAGTTCAAATTGTAAACACTATTATAATACCTATGTTTCAATATTTTGAGCGAAGAGAAATCATTTGTGGTTTATACATATGTTAAAATAAGTCGGGGAAAACTATTGGGTTGAAAAAATATAAAAAAAACTTTACATTCTTTGATAAATCTTTACACTGAGTTGTTTTAATCAATTTTATTCATGTAATGAAAAGGTTTATGTAGACTTTTCCACGTTTTAAAATTTAAAGTTTAAAATTTAGTTTTCGCTCGATGAATTTTAGTTGTTATGATGAATTATTTATGTATATGTTTTGAGTTGGCAAATAATATACATGTAATAATTGTAGTCATGGTCTAGAATATTACCAATAAATAACTTTATTGGCTTGAAACAATAAACACGATAAGATTTTACTTGCAGTTAAATAATGAAATGCCAAATACAAAATCTATATAATAGTGTTGTTTAATTTGATTTTATAAACATTTTCAATATTAGGCAGGCCTACTTAAATTGCACGTTTAAAAAAATAATTTTTATTGGCATGTTTTCCTCCTATCGTACAATCAACAATACATTATACAAAATGACACCACGGTTATGACATGAAAGTCATGAATCACTCTCTTTGTAAAGTTGGTTTCGCTGCTACAGCTTCGCCATAAATACAATAAATGAACAATTATTTGGTTCACTGACAGAGCTTAAGGCTGTAAATTATCACATTTTTACTCACCAACTTCTCAAAGAAGCTAAAATATAGAGCAACTATGGTCATTTATATCTCCATAAATACCATAGGCCTATTATGGAAAGCTATAAGATAAAGAAGAACCCAGACAGTATCATACCATAGATGAAGTAATATTACTTAATCTATGATCATAGTCTACGGGGAGCTCATTCAATTATGTCCTCTTTGAGGTTAAGAAAGAAATGGCCATTTTTCTTTAACTTCGCCTGTTTAAATAAAGAAATTTCATTAAATTTCATTTTAATTTCAAATGTCTAGATCTTCTCCAAGTTGATGGTTCAGTGTTAAGTGATGGTTTTAGATTCAATGCTTGGATTAGAGTTAATACAGGCTTAAAATGTCACCTTACATTATTTTGGTGATTTACAATTTTAAATCACATACATATAATCTCATTGATACTCTGTTATAAACTAGTACCAAATAAACACTAGTGAAGTTTACATAAATTGTATATTTTAAATGATTCCAGCAATTGGATTAATTAATAGTGAGATCACTATACGCGAATAATAGTATATTTCATCACTAGGGCGTAAAAAACTCTTTCCGGCCCGAGCTCAAGTTCAAAATGAGATAGGATTAAAAATACGTCTTTTGCCCGAGTGATGAACTATATCTTTCGTCGTGCTGCACCATTATTTCAGCAAATGAAGTTAGAAAAGGAAAATACTTTTGAAGTAAAGGTAAAATGACTAACAACTTGTTTTCAATTTTGCTAATACAAACAAGCAGTTGTTTAGTAAGCGATTTCGACTATTAATCATACCATCTAATAGTTATTGACGAAAATTCATAAATAGGCTACACCCTACAGCCGGTTAAGAAAATCGGTGAATAAGTTCGATAAATGCAATCTCTATTGTTAAAGCCATCTTTCACTCCCTAGGGACTAAAAAATATTTATACTCCTTAGGGATAAGAATAGCAACTGAAGCTCCGTGACATGTTGTTAAACGGCTGTTGTTGTCACAGTATGACGAAATAGTATTTTTAAATTCATTATCTTCACGTACAATTTTACCAAAGGTGGTTTACCCTGATTATTTGTACAGCTCAAATCTTCTCACTCTATAAAGTCACCCTTCATATTCAGCAATACGATCCTAAGTATAACTTGCTGTGTAAGAACCTAATTAAATGCTTCCATCGAACAACATTCCACAAAACGGTCCGGTGACGTCATCAAAAGTCCACTCATCACTCACCCTCACACTCCTAATCACCATTACCTCTTCATTGTTGAACTAACAGTCCTCCAGCCCACACACAACTCCTGACCGGTTGTATAAAACTAGCGATCGCTACCGAATCATATTTTATCCATGTCAATTTGGAAAAAATTACTATGCATAGCCGATCGAGGGGGGAGGGGAGTGCCCGGATTTATGTGTATTATTAAAAACAAACCGAGTTTATGACTTCATTTGTGATCGTGTTTATGGTGCCCGTAGACAGGTCAATCAGCGGTGATATATGCTGGTTAATTGGGCCTCCAGGCTGTACGATACAACTAAATGCAGCAGCGACTGTAAATATTGAATTGTGGTTTGTATTGGAGGTAGTATATCTAAATCAAAGAAAGTTTAGATGTTTCTTTAAATGGTGGTTTATAATGTTAAGAAAGTTCGTTATTGAAGCATGTTTTTGCTGAAGGACTTTGAGTGACAAAACATAATTCTCGTTCTGTATTAGGACTATCAGGTAGTAAAAAAATATATTGTAGTTTGATTTTAATGTCACCTAAAATATTTACCTAAATAAACCTAACATGGCACGATACAACTTCAGTGGCGCCGTATAAAGTGTAAATATCACATGTTTTTAACAGTCTTGTGAGATAAATTAGTCGTCGAGTGTACTGTCTTTAAATACCATATTTAATTGTAATATTTATCAGCTGACTTTTTGTTTGTTTTTGTTTATGTGATGAGTTTTTGGAAATTGGTATTAAAACAGGGTTGATCTTATCTTGGTTTTATTTTATCTTCAAACACTTACAATGGCGACTAGGATGAGGAAGAACGGTAGAAAACATCAGGAACTAGAGGAGGAACGCATAGTGATACCGAACAAACCAATGTTTTGTTCTAATTTTGATAAATTCGATGAAGACAATGAGACATGGACATCCTACATGGTGAGAATAGATAATTTTTTTGACTTAAATGAAATCACATCAGAAGTAAAGAAAAAGCAGTATCTGATAAATTTGTTAACACCTAAAGTATTCCATGATCTAAGGATTAGCCTAAGCCCATCTAACACAGAAGATAAAAGTTACAATGAATTGTGTGAAACTTTACAAATATTACTTGAGCCTAAAGGTAGTATTATCGCGGAGCAACACAAATTCACTAAACGAGTCCAGAAACCTTGTGAATCTGTGGGTAGTTTTGCCAAAGACCTAAAAAACTTAGCCAGTAAATGTGATTTCAAATGTCCACAATGTTTCTCTTCGACAACTGACGTCCACTTGCGGCAGCAGTTTATTTCGGGGCTTTATGATGAAAAGTTGTTGTCAAGATTAATGGAAATTCATGAAAATAAAAACTTTAACCAGTGTATTGAAATAGCTAGTAACTTTGAACAGATCAAAAGTGAAACTGCAAAAATCCAAGAATCAAATTTGTATTCAAAAGTGGAAGAACAATTTCAGATTCAAGGAAGGAGGAACACTGGATATTCGCAAGGAAGAAAGGGTACTACAGCTTGTTTCAGGTGTGGAGGAAACCATCACGTTAGTATCTGTGAAATTCCTAAAGTCATAAATTGTTGGAATTGCGACAGAAAGGGACATCTCAGCAAAGTTTGTTGGAGAAAGAAGCAAAACATGCTACAAACTGACGACGCTTCACCAGATAATGAATATAACGATGAGGGTGAGTGTCAAAATGTAGCCTACCATTCATGTCTATGTTATCCATTGTAGATAGGCAGAAAAAAAGTAGTAAACTATCTAAACTGTGTGATAGTATTTATCAACCAGAAGCTGTCAACAGGCCGAGGAAAATTATGTTAGAATGCACCATTGATGACAAGCGTAACTAATTTGAGTTGGATACTGGTGCTGCGGTCAGTACAATACCTTTACATCTGTTTCGAAAATTATTTCCAGAAAAGATTCTAAATAGAACAAGAATACGGTTAGGGACATATACAGGAGAAATGATTCGCCCCGTAGGTTTTGCAACAGTCAAAATTTGTTATAAAGATCAGATGTCTGTGGGCAACCTATACGTTATTCGGGGAAATGTAGACAGTGTATTTGGAAGGGAATGGTTGAAACTATTCAACATTGAGCTTCAGAAAGAGAATGATCACAGAACTAAGAAGGATGGAAACATAGTGGAATACAATAAGTCATTGACAGGAGGCCGGTACCACGATAGGAAGGGATTTAATCACCCGGCACTCGACCAGATATCCAAAGAGCCTGAGACTCGATTGGCCACCAAGAGACAGGCGAGAGATGAAGCTAGAGAAATCAGGACGAAGGAACTAGAAAGTCACCAGCTTTACAGCAAATATAACTTTAAAAACCACGATGTATACTCCACTCCAAATAGAGCTAGCTCTGTCACCAATAGTAGATCTCAGTTGTGCTCAAAGAACAGCTATAAATCGTCAAATTGTACTTCTGAGGACTTTAGGGAGGAGGTCAACAGCATGCAAGTTGCCAGTATTGATCCAAGGGAATGTGAGGAGAGGTTCCGCAAAGCTGTGGTGACCAAAGCACATCTGGACAGTGTGAAGAAGGCTAGAGTAGAGTACCAGAGTGATATGTCCAAGGAAAAATTCAAGGATTTTGAGAAACATCTTCAAGTTTTGAAAGAACACAAGGATACCAAACCTCTGAAGAAAGTTCAAGAACAACTAGGTGAAGAGCAGAAAACTCTAGAAGAACTAGAAGGTGTCCTACAACATAAATATGGGTCGGTAGATATTCGGTTGAAGCGAGTCCTAGAAGAATGTAATGGGTTGTTGGATGAGCTACGAGGACTCAAGTTGGAGTTAATGAAAAGGGGGAGCTGCATGAGTTCTACACCGATGACAGGGACGATATACAACAAAATAATTACATAATAGAGCTCAGGTTAATTTTAAGGGGGAAGTGTTGTACTGTCTTTAAATACCATATTTAATTGTAATATTTATCAGCTGACTTTTTGTTTGTTTTAGCGAATTTCCCTATAGGGAAGTAGCTATTACCGTAGGTGGCACGGTAAGACCTAGACCCGAGACTGATTTACTTTTTCATTTTGATGTCCCCAGAGGCCAAAAACACCATTCGTTCAAATTTTTATATATGTATATATATATATATATATATATATAGATTTATATATATATATAGATTTATATATATATATACGTCCGTGAACGCGATAACTTGAGTAATTTTTGTCCGATTTTGATGAAATTTGGTTTAAAGGTGTAAAGTGGGATAAACTTGAATGAGTTTGCGAACCAGCACGATCGGACCATGGGAACGGGGCTTTACGGGGGGTTTTATGGGGTAAAAATTGGTTTTTCTCACTTTTGACCCTCAAAACACAAAATTTCCCAATTCCTCTTAAGACCTTTTTAAAGAGCTTAAAAAAAAACAAATAATTTTGTATATAAAAGTATTTCTGTTCGATTATTAGTTACCGAGAAAATTAAAAAAATTGTAAATTTAAAATTACCATGTTATTCTTATGGAGAATATTGTCAAATGTTGTAGTTTGCTTGTTTATGGATATTTTTTGATCAAATTTGGCAAATTTATTTATTTTGAGTAGTGGAGAACTGCCGGTTTTACCTCACTTTAGACACGTTTTTCCCATGTTATTCTTATGGGGATTATTTTTGGCCACCAAATCTAAAATCCTGATCTTTGCCTGCAAATCCCTATAAAATTGTCAAACCTTATTTCTTAGTTATTCCCCATAAATATATTCGATATTAAGCAAAAATAAAAAAAAAACATTTATTGACCCATGTATGTGTATATGTATAGTAGTATAGTTTGTCGCAGCCGTTTTTTGAGGTGCGTCGTCATTTTTGGGCCAACTCCCCCCCCCTCACCCCCTCACCACTCCCCTCTGCCCCATGCACAATTGCTAGTACATCTACCATTCCCCTTTCCAGTTGATATATTATATTTCTATTTCAAAATCATGTATGTGTGTGGTTTGCACGCGAACTCGGCTCATGGCGTGGGCGCGCTCCTGGTCGCGGGCATGCTCCCTTGGACATCCTTTGTGGAAATCCATGAGTTCTGGCTACTTGGGAACCCAAGCCATTTGACATACAATAAATCACCCTTCCTCCTAATTACCTTTTCTACTAAATACATGTCTTTATACTTGGTCTTTAACAACTCCTCTGTATAGAAGCCTCCTCTGATTATATTACCATTTTCATCTTTCAAGATATAAGTCACAGGCTTTGTATTCTTTACTTCTGCTATTGTAAATAGTTCCCCTGTCCAATTCGGAGTATAACCTTTACTAAAAACATGTTTATACTTGGAAATCCTTACGCTATCACCTACCTTATATCTTGGCTTTTTAACTTGCACTACTTTAGAAGTCCTTTCATGCAACCTCTCATGCACATATTTACTGTTCTTAATATTCACTTGGTTAGGCTTCATTCCTATAGATCTATGCACTTTATTATTATATTTTCGAATTAACTTTGGAAGTAAATCCAACCATTTATAACTCCCCTGAGCACTAAATTCTCTATATAACCAATTCTTTAAAGTTCTCTGAAACCTCTCCACAATTGCAGCCTTAGTTGTAGAAAATGTGTGATAGTGATTAATATTTAATTTTTTCATTAGTTTGCTAAAATATTGATTAAAAAATTCTTTTCCATTGTCGGATTGAATGTTTTTAACCCCCTTTGGTAGAATGGTTTTAATGGCTTCTGTAACCACCAACCCTGTCTTATTCTTTAGTGGAGCAGCATAAGCTTTTTTAGAAAATGTATCTATTAAAGTTAAAATATATTTATTGCCAGAATTTTCTCTAGCATAGTTTTGCATATCAATTAAATCTATTTGTACAGTTTCGTTTATACCCAATACTTTAAAAGACCTTCTAATGAAATTCTTTCTTGCAGGCTTATGAAGTTCGTATGCAATTTCATTCATTTTTTATAACATCATCCTTTCCTGTAACTCTAAATACATCACCATTAGCCCCAATCAATAGATTATCTTCCATTCTTTTAAATACATAGTTTTCTGGTATATATGGTCTATTATCTATATACTTAAATCCACTCAAAGATGTGGGGTCAGCAACTAATAAATCAGGATTATATTCCATCAAATTAAAAATTTTTTCTCCATATACAAATTTTGATCCATCGTAATGCATAGCTTGTGACATTAGACAAATATCATCCGAATGTTCCCCCTCTGGTAGATTTCTTATAAATTGTTTTTTGGCATCCCAACATTTTTCTTTTTTATCAAAAGTTATAGTCTGTTCTTTTATAACACAGTCAGTTTCATCAATGGCAGGTTTAACACGTACTAACCTTTTATTATAAAAACTCCAATAGCCTGCTTCCATTTTTGGAACTTGTGAAACATTCACAGCATCTTTACTATCTGTACCTTCCATCAAATTGCTAAGTTTCTGTTTCTTAGCATTCCAAACACCATTCTCTGATTCTAAAAATTCATAATTATTATCATCTTGTATAAATTTACCATCTTCTTTTCGTATTAAAGTCTGTTGTAAAGTGGGCACATCATCTAAACTTTCACCCTTTTCTACATTAGTAATTTTCCGTTTCTTAGCATTCCAAACACCATTCTCCGATTCTAAAAATTCATAATTTTTATTGTCTTGTACAAATGTACCACCATCTGTTCGTATTAAAGTCTGTTGTAAAGTGGGCACATCATCTAAACTTTCACCCTTTTCCACATTAGTAATTTTCTGTTTTTTAGCATTCCACTTTTTATTCTTAGATTCTAAAAACTCATATTTAGTTTTACCTTGTAAAAAGACATCACCTTTTCTAGTTAATGTCTGTCCTAAAGTTGATACATCATCTACAAACTCCCCATCTTTAACATTACCAATTTTACGGTTTAAACAATTCCAACTATCATCTTGTAAATTTAAAGTAGGTTCACTACTCATGGTTGCCGCCCTGGGTTCTGCAGGCTTATTATATGGATTATATAAACGATAAAATTTATCTATAAACATATTTTTATTTAATAAATAATTCTACTTTCTCTCAATTCCTCAATAATGGAATCTATTTCATTATCCACTCCTGAGTTACCGGCTTGGTGACTTAGCCAAAGAAGTCTTAACCTATCTACAAGCTCATTAGGATCATCCCAATAAATATAGTCTATTTTATTACCAGTCACTTGTCTCAAACCTTCACCAACAGATTTAAATAGAGGTTTAATTATATTAAGATATTTAGTATGTCTATTACTTGAAATTGGTGCACCATCTTTGTAACTCTTTAAATGTCCATTTGTAGCTTCCAAAATCTCTTTATAATTTTGCAAATCAGCCTGAGTATAGTTCTCAGGTTCTTTTAACGTTAACAATTCCCATAAACCTTTTGTCCCCTTGTAGGTTTTATTTGCAACTGTAACATCATCATTGTCAATATCAACTTCCTTATTTCCAATAAAAAATTTATTTGCTTCTCGTCTAATACCATATGTAGTGTCTGTCATACTACTTTTACTGAGGTAATTTCCTAAATAGTCTGATGCTTAAAGACCAAAATCTAATTTCTGTGGGGTGGATTGCTGTAATGGTTGTAATGGTTGTAATCTTGGTATCATTGATATTCTAGATGGAGTCATTGGGAGTATCTCCATTCGAGGACTCTCTGATGTGATTTTCTTTAATTCTTGTAATGGCTCTATTAAAGGTTGGAATGTTTGGAACCTCTCTTCAGCCTCTAGAAACTTGCCACGTTTTAAAGCTCTATATTTCTCTCGTATTTGATTTGCAGAGTCAACTAATTCTTGTTGAATGTTTTTCATCTTTTATTTACATTTTATTTATCTCATTTGACAAAGGATTGTACTCAAACACTTTATCATGTATTATCAAACAATATGCAGATGTATTTGCTGGCACATTTTCTGCAGTTTCAATCTCTAATTTAATATCAACAATTCCTTCTTTCACTGTTTCGTTCTTTCTAGAACAGTCTATTACAATTAGTGGATATTTCTTCATAAACTCAGCCCTACTAATCATAGGATCTGGGATAGTATTATAGTAAGTCTCTCTAAACCTCATAAACATCTCATAAGCTTTAGAGACATCTCCATTTTCAAAGTCGAGATTTAAATCACTATAAGGATAATATTCAGAGTTTAGAAATACTTTGAGATTTTTTAATTTACAGTGATCAAATTCATCAGTTCTTTTTCGTGCACTATTGTCCCTAGCTGTTTGGAAACCAAATATAATATACCTAGGCTTCTCTAAACTTGAAGATGTCTTTACTGACCATGTATGTCTTGTGGTATTGGGATATGATGGAAGTTCATGCAGCTCTAAACTTCTAAATGCAATTTGCAAATTTTTATTTTGCAATAACATCTTTTGTAATTGTAACTTCTCTCCATCTGATGGTATCACGTGTGGCATTACCCATTGAATTGAGTTAAGTGTAATTTTGGGAATCGTATCAGCAGTGCCACTGGCTGGAGCACTAGTGGTTGTTAATATACAATTCAAATCATTTTTGGATCTTTTCAACACCAATTCTTGTTTGACATTTACTAATACCTTATTAAAATCCTCAAATATACCCATTAACAGCTCTAATGGCAAACATGTACTAAACTTGCCACCTTTATGGAACTCTTTTAAATTTGTGTCAGAATCAAATGCTACATTTGACAATTTAGTAGTTTTATTGTAAGAGCTCAATATTTTCATAAGACTAGAAATTCCTGGGTTTCTTACAATGTATATTTCTTTACCTGCAACTTCGTATCTAATTTCATCAAATAAGAACGCAAATGCATTATTTATAAAATGACCTTTTTCATGATTTTCAATTTCTCCCTTAATATACAGATAACTCCT